TTTGAAGTAATTGTTTGTACAGAGAGACACGCAGCACGCAGGTACACACAACTGTCATCTCTCTCTCTCTCTCTCTCTCTCTCGATCGATCATTAATTGAAATACATGCTATAATTCATTCAAATAAATGTGGTCTTACCGCACTATTTCATCTCTGTGTATGATTTGAAGTGGGCAAAATTCTAGCGCTAACGTGCCGTAACTGACGAAAATAACTAATTTTGCAAAGAGCAATACTAATTTTAACTTGTCTATAACTTTGCAAATGACCATGGAAAAAGCGGGATAATCAACAGCTAGCCGTGCATTAAAGAATTTTAAATGCACTCCGCTTTGCGTCGGGCGGTTCTTTGCCTCCACGTCGTGCGTTTAAAATCTTTTATTGCACGGCTAGCCGTTGATTATCCCTTAATAATGACAAAGATTTTTTTTATCTTCGCCCACTTTGGCTTAAATGTCTGCCATTCTTTTTTATTTTATTTTATTTTTTTACCGTGTAAGGCTTTGTTTTTAAAATAGAGAAATTAGTTTGGCTGTACTTCTCAGACAACTTGTGCAAAATAGTAAAACCAACATGACAAAGTATCGTGATCAAATCGTGATATTTTTTTCGCCCACCCCTAATCAAAAGTGAGACAGACTTTTATAATGTTACAAAAGATTCCTATTTCAAATAAATGCTGTTCTTTTGAATCTTTCATCAAAAAATCCTAAAGAAAAATTTAGTTTCCACAAAATTATTAGGCAGCACAGCTATTTTCAGCATTGATAATTAGAAGAAATGTGCTGCAGAATGATTTCTGAAGGATCAAGACTGGAGTAATGATGCTGAAAATTCAACTTTGCATCACAGGAATAAATAGCATTTTAAAATATATTCAAATAGGAAAGTTATTTTAAATTGTAAATGCATATTATTGTTTTTACTGTATTTTTGATCAAATAAATGCAACCTTGGTGAGCATGAGACTCCTTTAAAAAAAAAAAAACAAAGTAGAAAATCTTACCAACCCCAAACATTTGAATGATAGTGTATGTTGAAATCCTAACATTACCGTATGTTTATCTGATGAACTACAGAATTAGATCTGCACTCCTGGTGGAAGACAATGACATGTCAATTACAGCTTGTGCTATTAATGTCAGGGCTGGTTTGATTTGCTCCTGCTTCCGTTGTATATATGTGCCTGTACACAAACAGGGTCTGAACAATATCGGGGAAGCTCTGTTGTACGGATATTGACGTTGGAATGAGAAGAGATGACCTACTTACTGTTTGGAGATGTTTGGCTGTTGTTTTCCCATCTTAACTGCGTCTTTGATTACTGATCTATCATTCTCATTTTACATAAAGCATGGTGTGGTTTTGATAGGACAAACACCATAGTGGTCTGGGAGTGGGAAGTGCTTTGAATAGTAATATTTTGTCCCGAAGAGCCAATGGGCTGATGTTTGGCAGCTGAAGAGGTGAAGGGGAAGGGATGTGGCTACAGGAAGTGCCTTATATCCTTTTTCGTCCTGGTTACACTTGCAACTTTTTCAGCAGCGGTGCTGTGCTCCCCTCGGTCTCGCTCTGCGAGCTCCCTGGGTGGGGCAGCGGGAGGCTGTTGCTTACAGATCCAACACAATGAGTCTGTTGTAGTTCACTATAACACATGGCAGATGGGTACATCCTAACAGTTATCTGCAAGACCTCAGATGTGTGCGTAAGTGTGTAACTATGTAAATGGCACACACTCACAGCCCAAACGTTCTTATCTAGTTACTTATTAAAAACATACATTTTCAAAAATGAACATAGCTGCTTCAAAATTTGTGTTTTGGGTATGGATGCGTGTAATTTACGTTGTAGAACAAACCGTAAAAGTATCATCAAGTTATGTTTACCACAGAAAATCTCGAAGGAACCCACGGCGAATTACACTTCTGGATTCTGACGTCATAGTTGCTTATTTTTTCAAGATTTTGATATCTCATTTTATTTACTTGGTGTTTTTTTTTTATCATTCAAATTTGGCTGGGTGGTTAATAACACATTTTTCTGTGGTGTGACAAACTCAAAACATAGGCCATTTAATATTGTTTTACATTAACTTTAAATGAATACAACCTTAGCCTGTTTTTCAACACTGTGAACAGAGTTCGTACGCAGGTTGGAAAAGTATGGAATTTGATTTGAGTAATTTACAGGTCTGCAATAGTATGGAAAAAAGAAAGCAAAGTATTGAAAAATATTTGCTTTTCCAGACTTTTGCCCCTATTTAGATTTCTATAATAGAAAATTAAGAATTTAATGAAAATAAATTTGTCATACAAGAAGTGTGTTTTCATGGCAGCTGTTTATTGATTCTTTAGTGATTGTCAGGCACAACTGAATGAATTCAAGGTGCACTTTTTCATTATGCAAAGGACTAGCCTGAAAAATAAGCTTTTTTTATGCTATTTGCACAAAAGAAACAACATTTATTAGACCGTTGTTGTCAGATTTCATTGGTAATTTCAAATATGAAATTTAATTGTAAGCTTGGCGAATAGTTTTGGAGAATTTGATGTTTCTCCAGAGATAGGAGCTCAAGATATTCTTCGCACTGTATTACAGAGCCTCTAAAGGGATCTTTGCAAAAAGAAAAAAATATTCAGACTTTCATGTGCGCACAAGAAACCTTTAAACTTAGCATATAAGACGATGCACACTGGGCCACCTATTGCGCCATCAACCCATTTTGCGGTGTGATTTCTTGGCCACCACAGAGTATGCATTAAAGCAGACCTAAGGCCTTGAAATATGACGTACTGCCCTAATGAAAGCCAAATAAATTTGTATCACTTTTTTACAGTACCAGTCTTTTTTATAGACCCTTGAACTTGGCAAATAGGACGGTGCACATAGCCGTATTGTGCCATCAGCCCTTTTCGTGTCATTGTTTCTCCGCTGACGCAGAGGATGCAGTAAATTGGACATTAGGCCTTGATATTAGAGGTACTATCCTAAGGAAAGTCAAATTTTGAGCAAATAGATCTCTGTTAATTCATGTGCATCCATGCTATTATTTTCTTCATATTAAGATCGCAGTATAACAAAGGTTATAGTATATATAAAACTAGAAATTGTAATGCATAAGCACCCAAAAAATTCCTGTGTGGATGTGAATAGTTTCTCAATGGCACGAAAAACTGTAAAAAATGAGTGTAATTTTAACTGTAAAATATTGTAAAAATGGTAAAAAAAAAAAAAAAAAATTTGAATGTTAACAGTAAGTTCCAGTACTATATACACGTAAAAGATCTAACCAGACATTTCATGTAATTTTACAGTAAAATGCTTTTAATGGTACAGTTTTTAGAAGTAAAAAAGAACAAATCAACGTATAATTTACAGTCAAAAACTGAAAATTGATATTCCCAGAATTCCCTGCATGACATTCCACATTTGAAAGTATTTTGTTTAAATCATGTTTCTTATAGTTTTTGTTATCAGTTATTTACATTGGAGTTTTATGTTACATCTTCTGTTGTTTAATAAATATTTATTGCATTAAGTGTCATGTGTGTTACCATGATGGTGTTGTGCATTTGCGTGAATGACTCTGTGCACCTTCTGTATATTAGTATATACTTCAGCTTGTGGGGAAGTTACTTGTGATGAACTTTGATTCTTCACGTGGCTTTCTCTTTTAGCACCTGCATTATTATGGTGGTGGTCAGTATATGTTGAAGGTACAAAACAGATTTTAGTTGCAGTGTGCATTGTTGATTTTACTGGTTTACATTCAGATTTTCTTGTTTGTAGATTACAATTTTATAATGTCAACTTTAAAGTTTGTTCTTTAAATGTGTTTACAGGTTTTCTGTATTTTTTACAAAATTATTCTGTCAACCACAGCTGGCAAAATGGTTTTGTAATGGTTTTACATTGTATTAGTGGTTTGAACCTACACTGGTCTCACGGTTCGGTTACGATTATTATGTCATCGATTCGGTTCAATTCGATATCACAATGCATTGACAATGCACTGCATCCTCAATTTTCAATTTTACTTCACATTTATACAATTTTGTCAATAAATACAAGCAGTCAGATATATGAACTGTACCTGACCTGGTTTCTTAATTTAGTGGTATTACCCGCTGCTAGTGATGTGACATTTGAATGCGCGATTCACTTTGCGTGTCGAAATGTTCGATCCCCCAGATCTTACTTTATGAATAAGTTTTAATTCAGACTTATTCAGTTACATTTTAGATACCCAGTCATATAAGTAATATGAAGAATACAAGTTATTTCAGAAAAATTCAATATTTGTCACATGCAATTCATGAGTACATTATTCTTCTATTACATCATATTGATATTCGTACTGGTATTAAATTGCACAGTTTAATGGGTAAATGAATTTATCAGAAACTCAACAAACACAAACACGCACACTGTTAGGCTTTTATTTGTGCACGTAACTTGAATCGCTCTGTGGAATATGTGTTAGATGCCTCGTCCTACGAAGCGTCTTTCACAGGCTTTTGGCTGCTATATTTTTTATGAACCACCAGATGGCACTGTTTTCGAGACACTCGAAGCTTTGAATCTTTTCCCGAAACAGTCAGAGGAAAGCCTCAGTGCTTCATGAGGCTTCATTTGCCCATCCATACCCCCTACATATTTCATTGTGCGTGACATGATTTACACACAGAGTGTGTCTTCTCCAGGTCGTGCTCAGGTTGTTCATAAAAGCCGAAATGTGGCCAGATGTCTGCTTTTAAAGTAGTTGGAACATTTTTAATTACTCATGTCTTGCCTCCCTCCGCCGTTAGGCGCGTTTGATTTGAAGCAGCGCTGCGCAGGATGAGTGTATGACATCAACCGCGAAAGCATAAGGATCCGTCTGCTCTCTTATCGCTCTCGCGGTACTTGGTCATACA